GTAAGTCTAATACAGCACTAATTTTATACATTTCTTGTGAAAGAAACACTTCTTATTCAACGGCCATAAAAATTATTTATATTAATGATGTCTCGAAAGGTTAAGTTATTTTTCTGCGAAAAATTCGTTATCAGAAATCGCGGCCACCGTTTCGTGTGCTGTTCCGTGACGAAAACAAACTTTGAGCAACGGCGTAGTCGAACGGTACACACTTGGTAAGTAATCCTATAATTTTTTGTTTATAGCATAGTTTATACAGATTGTTCCCAAAAAATTATACGTGTTTTGGAAATGTTGAGTGGAATTAGTCTAGAATCAGTTAATTTTATAGAAGAAAACCTTTCAAACAGCCTTAGTCCGTAAAGTTCACACCTATCGGGCTGCGATTGGCTCACGTATTTAATCATTCCTACAACGTAAAATTTGATTAACGTGGAACGTATCTAAGCGTTATAGGGGGGTCTACTGTATAATACTGTACAGATGATAGTAAACTCAATTTACCCGCCTAAATTCTCCATAGCGTGGTGCTGGACAGCGGAAAGTAGTTCGGCTGCCCGATGACGTTTTACCGAATTATAGGAGTTTTTTTTTATCAGGTTTGTACGGATACCGTCACAATTTTTTCGCCTCTTATAGGAATCGTAATTATAGGAACCTGTGTTATAGGGGGGTCTACTGTATTTTTAAATTATACAGCAATGATGCCATAAAAATCATAGAAGTTGGATAAAGCAATCTACATAACAAAGGGATTAAGTAGGAATTGAAAAGCAAATTGAAAAACAATTATAATTTAAACTGGAATTGAAAGTTGTTATAGTATTTCTCAGAATTAGAATAGGCTAATGCTTTATATCTTGAATTTGTATTATTACTTCAACGTTGTACTTAGCAACAAGAATTCTTCAAAATGTGATGATTGAATTTTTCAAAAGATTTTAAAATGTAAATGTTACATCACACCTTTATTTTATAATCTCAAATTTTATGCAAGTATGCTGGAAATTTTAAATAGATTAAAATATTTTAAATATGCAATTTTCTAATGTATGTTTTACTTTGTAAAATAAACATAGAACTATTTTCCTTTACATATTTAGACTAATGAACATTCTTATTTTTGGAAAGACTAATAAAGGAAAGATAATTCAAACTGGAAAAATGTGCAAATAATAATCACATTGATAACCTTTGCTTTATTCCTAATATATTACAAATGACAAAATGTTTGAACAGCTTGACTGCCCTGCTTTAGGTCAGTTACATATATGTTCTGTTTAGAATGCTTTTTTTCTAGTTTTTTTACATTCAAACTCAATTTAAAATTTAATTATTTTTGAAATTTACACAATTTAAAATTACCAAATTAAACTTTACAACAAATATATTCTACATACCATATTTACTCGAATATAGGACGATCTTGCATATAGGATGAAGTGTGACTTTAAAGATCAAAATAAAGTAAATTAGATTTATTAATACAATTCTAATTTTATATCAAATGCATGTCAATTCACACATTGTCCCACAAAAATTACTGGCATCTTAAACTTCAAGAAAAAATCTTGTAAAATTGACAACATAATTTGTTCATGTAAAGCTGGACAATCGAGAACCTTTTGTGCCAATTCTTAACAGTTGAATTCACTCTTTGTTGATTACACTTATGAGTTTCTTCGAATTTCCAAATAATCATCTGTTTTTGCGTGGGAATGGATTAAAACTTATATCGGGCTCCCGTGTAATTTTGGAATTCAATTAAAAATTTTTTCTTTTCCTATTGCAATCTCTACTTTTGTCACTGTGTAAAATATAAAAACTTTTTTTTTGTAAATCAGAGTTAAAATAAAATCTGTTTGATTCAATAGAGGTCACATTTTTAAAAAATATGTCAAGGTTAGCTCTACTTTTGACCACTACTGTAATATATAGGATTTCTTAACTTCAGGATTAAAAAACACAGATTTAGATATTGAAAAAAGGGAAACAAACAACATTTTTTATATAAGCCTTGGAACCTGGAATTAAAGCTAAACTAGACCAAGCAGCATTGATTAAGAAGTGTTTTAATAAAGAAGAAACTAAATTTTTGAGTTATTAAAGATATTTAAAACATCATTGGAGAAAGAGTGCATTAATATAAGAGAGACAGATGCATTATCAAATGATTGGAAAGCATTTTATGATAATCCAAAGAAAAAAGTTTATTATAATAACTCAATTGAATGATGGGGTATTAAAATAAAATCATGTAGAATATATTTGTTTTAAAGTTTAATTTGGTAATTTTAAATTGTGTAAATTTCAAAAATAATTTAAATTTTGAATTCAGTTTGAATGTAGAAAACTAGAAAAAGAGCATTCTAAATGGAACATGTATGTAACTGATCTAAAGCAGGGCAGTCAAGCTGTTTGAAAACATTTGTCGTTTGTAATGTGCTACTGCAATAAAGCAAAGGTTATTTATGTGATGATTATTTGGAAAGACTACAGTGGGTGATCGGTTAATGACCATAATTCATTCCAAGACTGTGTTTGCTACCTGAACTGTTTGTTAACTGATTATTGATTTACCATAGATTTTTATGGGAATTTGATTAATTCGTTCTAGAGACCCCAAAAATAAATAAAAATTTATATACTTTCNTTTGATTTTAAAATTTTTGTTCTATTTTCTTTGTATTCGAAAAAGCTTAGCCTGATGATGGCCAATAGAGTTGGCTGAAAACGTTAGCTTTTCATTAAAAGTTTTCTCAGCAAATTAAGGTGTTGTGTTTTTTTGAGTTTACAAGCAAGTGCTGACTGAGTGTAATATAGTTGCCAATCAAATTGCAAATTGGTCAAGCATTAGACCTAAATTACATATATACAATATATATAAATTTTAAAATGCTTTTATTAATTTTTTTTATACATATAAAAAGCAGTAAAATGTATATTAATGAATGAAAACAGAATTGCTTTCAATGACATTTTGTAAATTTCAGTATTTCACTGTCAAACTTACAAATTAAATTGTAATAATGAGGTTTGTTTCAAGATGTCACCTGTCAAGTATACATTTTGTTTTCAGAATGCTTTTAATTATAATAACTATTGAAATAATTACAATAAAACTACATGATGTATTAATATGAAGGAGACAAACTAAAGAAACATTACCATGTTTTTCTTCTATTTGCTTGTAATCTGTGAAATTTGTGTCAAAAGTTTTTAAAGACAGATTTACATTACAATTTCAAAAATGCTTTTAAGTTTCTAATCAGTTAATTAATTTGATATATGAGAAATTCTGTTAACTTGCTTTTTATAATGATGACAATTTTTTATTATTTTTTTTAGGTTCTTGATATGTATCCTAAGACTCCAATGGGACATAAGGATATATTTAATATTATTCGTTCAAAAGGTTTAAAAGATGTCAGGTAAATTGTTTACTTGTAATTGGTAATTTAATTTGCTAAAAGTTGTTATTGCTTTATACATACAGAAGTTCTGAACTTTCAGATAAAATGCATTTCTAAAAGTCTACAAAAGTCAAACAACAGAGTTGCATGTCATAAAGGAAATTCTGCTTACAGAATGCTAAAAAGGAAAATTATAAAATTTCTTATTATGGTTGAAATGTTTTAGATTTTTAGAATGAGTATAAAGTGCATAAAACATTATTTAAAGCATTAAAACTAAATTAAACAGAAAACAGACAAAAATGAATTTTTACAAATAATTATAAAATCAAAGTTATCTAAATTAAAATTGAAAGTGATTCAAACTTGTTTTTTGGCTGAAAATGTGCAAAAGTCTGGATTTGGCTAATGAAAAATACGAGGGTCATTCTAAAAGAAAAGAACGTTTTGATCTGACAAGCCGTGCAGTTCTCCCACCACCCCCACTGCTGCGTCAAGGACCTTCCCATTTTTTTGTGCCAGTCTGATGCTAACAGCAAGCCACAACAATTATTTATTGTTTACAGTGTGACTTTGAAATGTGTGACAAAATTAATGATCCCGCCAAGTGTGAGGTTCATAGTGTAATATGCTTTTTGAATGCGTAAAAAGTCTGCCCTATCAAAATTTACAGGCAGATAACCGAGGTTTATGGTGATGTGATGAATGAAGCTTCAGTTTGAAATAAACGGTGGGGATTGTTGTCCAGAGACATTGTACTTCTTCAAGATAACGCACGTCCGCATGCTGTTGCATTGACGAAGAACGCACTTAAACTGCAATTTAAGTGGAAGTTTTGGACATCCTTCTTATAGCCCGGACTAAGCTCCGAGTGATTATCATCTTTTTCCAAAATTGAAGGTTTTTTCGCCAGGAATCACTATGGAAGTGACAACGAACTGAAAGAGGTCATTATTAATGACTGGTTCAAGAACTTGGTGGTAACTGAGCGTGCAGAAGGCATAGAAAAACTGGTGATATGCTATGACAAATGTTTAAATTTGTATGGTGACTACATAGAAAAATAAGCTAAGGTATCATATGTGTTGTAAAATAAGTTTTGTTTCATTATCTTAAATAAAAATATCTAGAGAAACAAATGTTCTTTACTTTTAGAATGACCTTTGTAATTTAAGAATATCAAAATGTTATGTACAAAAGACTGAGTTATCCGAAAGCAAAATGTCTGAAAGATGAGAGCTGTCTGTATTTGGAACATTTAATTATTATGATAATATTGCTTATGTTGCTTATTTATGACATTGTAAGATTTTGATGTAATTATCTAATTTTACTGAAAACTTAATATTCATATCAGACATGTGATCATACACTGTCTATACTAATCATTTTAGCCAGTATAATTAATCCTTTAATATTTGTTGTTGAATGATATCAAGCGATTGAATATTTAATGATTACTTATTTTGCAAAATATATATGTATGTGTTATTTGACACAGAACTATTACATTTCTGTGCCATTTTTATAATTTTATAATAAAAAAAATTTTTTTTAAATTTAACTTACTGTTATATTTATATTTAGAAAATAATTTATAGCATTTTATGATTGAAAGTACCTGTACATGAATGTACTAGGTCAGGCATGGCCAACGTACAGCCCCTCTAATGAATTCATGTGGCCTGCGATGAATTTTTCAATATTAGCTACTCAAGTCCGAATAGCTCGATGAAAAATTCTGACACCTAAAGAAAAAAAAGGTCGCCAACTCGCTGTGCGTTTAGAGTTAACGCTCTATTACAAATCTTTTAAGTACAGCATAGAATGTTGATAAAGCATGATAATGTGAAAAATGTATCTGTAATCTCTATCTGCAATTTAGTCTTACGGGGTGACTACCACAATGAGATCTTGCACCACCTCAAAATCTTCCTAAGGCAGCCTCTGGTTCAGCCTGTGGAAAAAGTTTTCTTTCCAATTTGGCCCGGTGGGCAAAATCTGTTGGCCACCCCTGTACTAGGTGTGGAACACCTAGTACAGGGGTGGCCAACAGTTTGATTACCTTCAGTGCCTGATTGCCTTCAGTGATCCAATCTCAATGTTTCATATTACTTTCTGATGCTCTCATATCTGTTTTACAATCTTATAATAATTTTATAATTTTTTAAACAATATTAGTTTATATACATAATATTTATATATATAAACTAATATTGTTAACTATTATAAATTTAATATTGTTATATATATATACAGTAGAGCATCGATTTTCCGAAAGTCAATCATCCGAAAGAATTCCAGTCGGCAAATTTAAATTTTCGCCAGTGCTGTGGCGCTTCAATCTTTGGCTATGTCTAGGGCTACTCAAATATTTTACATTTTTGATACTAAATTAACATCTGAAGTATAATTTTTTATTGTTTTTATATTTTTCAATATATTTATTTTGTTTGTACAAAATAAAAAAATAATTTTTAACGATACAATAGTCTTCGTTAGGCTTAACATCGACAAAAATTCAACGCAAAGCAACATGCAACGGATAAAAATTTCGACATCGGATACGTTAAACTATTTTTTCATACGTAAATCAGTTATCCGAAATATCAGTTATCCGGACAACCCCAGTCCCCAATTGATTCGAAAAATCGACGCTCTACTGTATAT